TCATCTCGTGGTTAGAAAAAGGGTTGCTAAGTAGCGGTGTTTTTCTTGTTGCTGGCTTTACTGATGACTGGAATCGCCGTGGTTCAATTGCTAACACCAAACGCTTCCGGATTTCGAAGACATTTTAGTATTTCTATTGAAGCTGGACGAAAGAGGCGTAAAGAGGCTCTGGATTGGGTGAACTACTTATCTTTTGGAATTGGATTGCCCGTAAAGGCTTACCCACCGAGGAGCTCTCCAAGACTCCCAAGCTACTATGCAGGCGGTTACAGTATCGTTAAGAGAATCGTTCGAGGGGAGGAGGGGAGTTTTTAGGCATTAAGGGAGCCGCGAGAAAATTTTTGGAGAGCCGCGAGAGAATTTTTTTGGTTATTGACTTGTCGCGAATTTTTTCGTGGACGTGATATGGCCCCCATACTCCCCACCGCACCCTCGCCCTCTCAATCGGGCAGGGCCGTCAAAGGCCCATACAATTACTATTTCGATGGCCGAAATCAGTAGTTATTTGGTGACAGTCTACGAATTCACCGCGCGACGGCAGTTTTTTGAAAGGAAGAAAACCGGAAAGATCTTTAGGGATCTGAGTGACAGGGAACAAGTGAGGAAAAGTGGAAGAGAGTCGGGAAAGCTTAGGGTTATGGTAGATAGGATAGGAAGAAGAGGGTCGAGCTGATGAAAGAATTTTTCGAGAGGTCGTCTGAGACCACTATTCCTCTCACCCGATGCTGTACCCTGTATATAGGCCACTACGCGCTGACGCTATATTCCAGGCTAACTCATTCCCAGGCAATAACGCCGTGATTGGGTCTTTTATATAACATGGGTTGGATGATGACAATCCGAGTAATCCTGAGACAGTTCTCAATTGTTGCTATAGTTTCAGACGATGATTCTGAAGTGCTGAGCAGTGTGTTCAACTCTCTGACACGGCTCTACCCATCCAGAAACGATTTGGCACGGGATTTACTGAATAGTGATGACCGTTTTCTAGCGACCGCATCTGCACTCATTGCTCTGAGAAAGAAACTGTGGTGAGTCTTCTGTTGAATCAGGCAAGGTCCCCAGGTTAAAATGGCTTCTTTTGATGAGACCTACAGCCATTAGACGCCTTTTGGTGCTGATCTCGTATCCGCTCTCGTATCCGCTTCCACTATCTAGCAAACGATTCTTTCAATGGAGTTTTCGAGTAGCTTGTGGAGATAACGTCGGTTGTAAATCTTCATAATTGCGCTCAGAGAATGGTTTGGCAGACTACGAAGGCAAACTTGAGATCAGATAACATGCCTGTTGGTGTAGGTCTCATCAGAAATGGCCGCTTCGACCTGGGGACACTCCCTTGTTCTGCTAGGGCAGAGCTGTTGTTGGCTACTTCGTCGCCAGTTGGGAAAATTTTCAGGTGATTCTTCAACTTCGTTTTCCCTTTTGTTGTGTTGGCTGCATTCCGTGACATACAATTCGATGCGAAGGTATGATCCGATAATGTGTTTGGTGGCTTTTCTTTGGTTCTTCAAGGAGACTAGGTGCTGGAAAAGGGAGACGGGTAAGCGAATCGTAAAGGCCGCTTCGTCGCGCGCAGCAACGGGCGCGACGTTTCCTTAATTTGCACTATAGACGAACAAATACATGGTAGACACTTCTATATTTGTCTATTCTAGACCAATACCACCCTAAATCGTCGTCATTAGCGGACGCGACGTCGCACGCTACGCCCACTATCGCGGCGAATTACGATCCTCTTGCCACATACCCACTGGAAGAGAGGACACATGGATGAGGCTTGGACGCTCGACCTGGTCATCTGACGCTTTATATGGCTTGTGCCTGGAAACTGGCATAGATCGCTCAAACGTGACAGTTACTCGCGCCGCCGCGTGTCTTTTCCGAGCCTCATTATATACTACCTTACCCCTTTTGCAATTAGGCTAGTGTATAACACTTCAGTTGGGGATATGTGTAAAGCTATCTCAATGTATGGTATTCTGTGAGAAAACCGAGAAGTTTTAGACTGCTCCGAAGACTGTCCTTGCCTTTTGCGAAGGGAATGGGTGCACAGTATGCAGTATCGTGCTACTTTCTCGGCTTTATGTTAGAAGTGCCTGGGACTGTAAAGTGGGGCGGTGTGACAAGTCAATCGTTATCTGCCACGCTGGTTGGGCGTCGCCGTTACGACGTTCGTTCCACAGAAGGCAATGTTTTTGGCGACAGCAAATAATGGCCATAAATGCCTGATATCGTAGTCTACCTATTGCCGCGCGTGATGGAGCGGCAAACTACGATTGTCTTGACTGTCTTCCGTATTGTAGTGCCGTCTCCATACTCGGCTCGCCTCGTGCGACGGTACCGAGGTCCCGCAGAGAAACACACACCCAGTGATAGAGACAACAAATGAGAGTTTCTGTTAGGGCATGGAACATGAAGGACAAACGCGCAATCCACCACCAAGAATACTGGGTTCGTTGGACAAAAAGTAGGACCACGGACGGGATTCGAACCCGCTTCTTCTGCCCACCGGGCAGCTGCGTTCCCTATTACGCTACCGGACCTATTAACAAACGTCAATGTCATCCCGAGGACGAAAAGTGAGTGACAGTCTGTGATAGAGCGCAGCCAGGAGTATGGAGCTAGCGTCCTAATACTCCCAGCACCGTATTCGATGTGTTTTTGAGCAGAGAAAGTGAAACACTACTGCAGCTGCGGACCGACTCGCCCTCATGTCACCCATCAAGGATCAGGGCCCATGATGGTGTCTTTGAGCAAAAAGTTATTACGGCTTTGAAATAAGCGTTGGGGTTTTCTAGGTGAAGATACCGATGTTAGGTGACACACTTACTTTTGTGAAACACTAGTCAATCGGCGAATGCTTGTCAAAGCTTCGTACCGTTCATAGAACTTAGCTGAGTACACTGCGTGTTCCGAAGGTTGGAATGACGTGACTGCGTATTTCATCCAAACGTCTCAGTGGCTACGGCTTCTGGTACGTTTTGGGAACTGTAATCATGTTTTTATTCAGCACAAGACGGGTTGACAGTTGCCTCAAAAGGGAATATCCCACGAAAAACGCATCTTAGCCGTGTTCAGATGAAATAAGCAGCCACGCTCTTTCTACCACTGCAAATGGAGTATACTTGCTTGCGGGGAATAAATTTTGCGGTTCTTTTATCTTTCGTGCTTCTGATTTTTAGTGTTCTTATTCACTACTGTATGCTAGAAACCCCTAACTGCATGACGAATGTTTCTCGACTGTGATTCCTGGTCATATTTCCGTGCAGCACAGAAAGGCAGAAGGAGATGCAGTTTTATTAGAGCATTCAATCTTCTTAGATTACAATTGCGAGCATAAAAAGTGCAAAACGAAGCCGATGATGTGGACCGAAACCTAATTAGCATGGATGTTCAGACGAGAATTTCTGAAATACTTTTTGTTGTATGTGTTCTGATATATAATCTGCTATTATTTTTTATTTTTATTATTTTCTTTTTATTCGTTTTCGGATGATTCTTTTCCTATTTTGTACTTTGTGCTTCGTGCAACCGGATAGGGCCAATGACGCTATTCATTCAAGGTTCTTCTGGACTGGATAGACGGCGATGAGCTTGGATATGAGACTGTTTCGGCGATTGTCACGAGCCTGACTGAGGACCGTGACATTTGGGAAAAAGCTGCCGATTTAGATGGAAGGTAGTATAGTTTCACTTCCAACTTTTGAGCCTGAATAGGCTCATACTGGTGGTGAAGACGTGTTCCGAATTTCCATTTTTGATGAATTATTCATATTTCGGTACAATGGGAATTTGCTTCGATTTCATCATTCCTGCCATTGCAGAGCTAAAATTTGATTCCATTCGCATGTTCCTTATCGCTTCAGTGTGCCTTGGGGACGGGGCCGGGTACAGTTCAGGGGAACAACAACGTGCAAGCTCAGTGGTACGTTGGGAACCTCAGAGAGAAGGGGGGCCGTTTTAGGTCTCTAGAATGAGGAGGGGTCGTATTTGCCTTTAGGGAAAATGCTTTCGGCTGCTGATTCCTCTTGGTGTCCCCATTTCACGGGCGCTATGTGCTCCTTCCTTCCCCCCCCCCCCTCACCCTCAACGCCGCCGTCGACCGCTCTACGGCAATTTTGAAAAACTGAAAAATTTTGAGCAGCAACTTCGAAAAAGTGGTTCACTGTCGGAAGTTGGAAGAATTGAGGTAGACTGATGCATGGGGAGGACGGGGAGGGGATGGTGGTGGAGAGCTGCACCAGAAGAAAAAATTTTGAGCGGAGGTTCGTATTTCGCAAAGTTATTGCCCAGCAGCAGGACCTGCCCTGGCTACGTGATGTTGCGACGAAGCGATTTCATGCTGTCTTGGTGAGAGGGTGCAGATGAGCAAGCGTGATGTGGTGTAATCTCACTGGAGAGTTGGCCCTCCCTACCCCTCCTGAGTGCCTTTCTGTAATATTTTCGAATATGACTGACATTACTTTTTTGTTTTTACTTGAAAAAATGCAACCGCGAAGTTTCAGTGTGTCTTCTCCAGCGGCTAAACGGCGACGTCTATCGCTGGATAGTAGTGCTGAGTATCGTACGGTATATCTACAGGAAAAGCAGATTCCTTCAGAAGATGACGTTATCGTGAAAGTCCGAGTTCCCCACGTGGAAGGCACAGGAAATCACCAACGAGGAGACGTTTACGTTTTCAAGGAAGCCATTGGTTAGACTTGTTCGGTCTCTTTCGAATGTTCCAATAGTCCGAATAGTTCTCGTTTTCTTTGCAGATTTCAACTTCTTATCGACTGATGTTGCCAAAACCGGATGCGAGTGATTTTTCTGCTGTGGAAGAGATGATGGTGGAGTTGAAGTTGATGCTGAATAAAGACTTTTGGAATCCGGTGGACTTGACGAGAGGACTGAGAAACTTCGCGACGCTTTGACTGAATTTCTTGGCGATGAAGGTGATGGCGATGACGACGAAGAGGTGGAGGAAGACGAGGAATAGTAGCAAATAGTACTGATAGAACAAAAGGTTTCCGGAAGACTCACTTCATCTTGTATGTTGTAACAATTCATGCATTGCGTTATTGCCGTTTGTTCAACTTTTTTCATTCATAATCGACATTTTATAGTGCTGCCGAGGAATGACTGACATCCTTGTCGAGCTTGCATTTCCAAGGAGGCCATTGCAGAAAACTAACTCCACAGCCAATTGAGCCCACTATTTCCCGGCGGAATAGGTTAGTAATGCATCATTTATCTCATGCCCGGTCCGTGTGTAGCCATATGGAGTCTTACGGCGAATATATGAGTTGGAGGGAACTATGATCAGAATTGGCAATTTTTGAGAAATGATTTTGCATTGCTCCCAGGAACAGGCAGTTGCTGGAAAGCCAGTGGGTAACGGGATTTCCCGTGGACGTGGGGAGGGTAAGGTCAATGGTCAGTGCTGACGGTCGCTGCAAAGGCAAAACAGTTTTCTGGGTGTGGAGAGTGACTCATTTCTTGTTTTTGCCGTTCAAGTCCCTCCATTCGAAGGTTGCAGCGGAACCATAATTCTCCGCGCGAGGAGTGAATCCAGGTACAGCGACAGGATTTTTGAGATTGGAAAGCGTGGGAATGTCAGCCCCCTCCACCCCCTCAGCCACTCTCCGCCACCAATCATCAAGGACGGGGTGAGTGGAAGGGGACATCACACACTTACCCCCGCTCGATATACGACCACAAACACCCGAGGAGGCCACACAACTCTTTTAGGAGCAAAGGACATTTTGTTCTATAGTAGGTTCCAGGTGTTCTTGTACACGTTTTTGTTTAGACAATACATTGGTGCCGACTAATGTGATCCAAGGAAATAAAACTGCAAATGCTGAAATTGGTCCCTTGGAGATTCTAATCGTCAGCCTACTGCCCCTTTCTTTGGCCTTCCCAGAAGCGCTAGCAAAATGATCTACTCTTTGTGGTCCTCGCATGACCCTATAACCCGTTTCGGAAATGGACAGGGAACCTGAAAGACTTCCCCCTTGTTGGGTTACTGGCTTGATAGTAGTAGATTCCATGGAAACTCCGAAGATGCCTTGGAACTTGTTCAAATTTCTCAAATTAGTTGTGTAATTTTTTTTCAGATTGGGATGAGCCGTGGAAGGTGATACTAAATGGTCGGTTCTGCTGCGAGCTGGTTCTTTATGGATCCGATCCTGTCCATATTTATTTAGTGGCAGGTGATGCAGTACTTCAACTAGGAGACAGAGTAGTCCTGAGTGGTAGAAGATAAAAAGAACTGAATAAAGGTTTTTATTCACAGAATAGAACTAAGCAAGTATTTACACCGTTTTGCGAGATATTCTGATTCGGAATCGTGTGGTGGCAGGTAACGGCTTATCGCATCAGTAATCCAGGATATCTGAAATCGACCAATTGTCTGATTTTCAATGTGCATGACATTTTTTCCGTGAAAAAAAATCTAGTGTCATCCTCGCAGCCGTTCTCTATCGATTCCGGATCATTCTAGTTCTCGGCGCTGTTCGGCGACGGGGGGGGGGGGTTTTGCACTTTTGCTACTTCCCATCGACGTGTCGACCTATCTAGACAGCCTCTTCTCGAGTTGACAGGTTTTACCATGACCGCTTCGACCTTGCACCAGCTTCACAATTTCACCAAACTGAGACTTGTAAACCGGAATTAGGGAGGCAATGAGAGTGCGAAATGCCCCCCTCCCGTCGCCGAACTACTCCTAGTTCTCTATCGATCGATTCTAGATCGTTCAGGGCGCTAACTTGGTTGAGGGAGTGGGACCACTCGGCCGATCCTGCTTCTCCCTTTCCACTGCCATGAGTTTCCCTTCTACATATATAATTGGATCACCAGGACCGCACTTACCGTTATCCATTCGTACGGAACGAATTTTCTTCTTCATCATTCGCTGTCTGAATGGATCAGTGAATCGCGAATTCAAACCGATGAGATTCAGTAAACGTCCGCCACGTTTTAATGCCGTTGGCTGAAAACAAAAATAGAAAATTCCATAAAGGTTAATGTGCCACTTTTCTTTGACAGTGAAAACCTCCCCCGATGGCTCTATGGGAGAAACACAGGAAGGGTTTTGTGCAGTGAAGTCTACCTCGGAACAGGTGATTGCAGGTCATTCTTGGTTCTCTTCCCTTTGTCCCTTTGAAGTACGGGTGACGAGAAACTCGGTTTTCGTTTTCTGCAGCCGAGGTTGGAGGTTATCATTGCGTCACTGGCACGAGACTTGATTCTGTTTTGGTTGTGCAAGAACATCGCTCCTGTGGAATGGCATGAATAGTGGAATGCTTCCCCCATAAAGGGAATCCTTAACGAGTCCGCTGAAAACCGCAAATGACAGCTTGGATGCATACGTGTCACGGTCATTGAAAAAAGAAACGCTTTTATAGGCATCGATCATGGCAAGTAGTTTTAGATGGGTTTTTTTCGAAGGAAAATTACGCGATGGAGAAGTGGGCGGGGACATACGGCCTTCATGCTTTCGTTAGTGGTGCGCCCTGCTCTTTTATCTAATACATAGAAGGAAAGGAGCACCAACGATCAAGCCTGCTCTTCCTCAATTCGGCTATGAATTCGGTGCCAATTCCATCAGTATTTTCCAGCGCCTCAATATTCCAAGCTGACTGAAGCTTGACGTTTTCATAGCATACTGAGCTCAACCGATCCCGAAAATCATTGTCCCGTCCTGTAAACCAATCAAAGTAATTGATGCGGCGTCCAAAAAATAAAGTTTTGGCGCCAAAAGCCCACTCTTTGTATTGGCATTGCCATATGAACTATCACCTAGATCTGAATGAATCACTTTGAAAAAAAAATCCATTGACAGGTTTATTCTTATGCAAATGCGACGAGTGCTTGCCTGCTTTGAAAGATGCGTTAATACCGAAAGTTCAGCGATTCACATTCACAAGCGCCGCATTAGAGAGAACACCTCGAAAAATGTAAAAAATAGATAAAAAAATGTTGATCAAGTTCTATAAAACATATAAAGAGCATACACCTCATATCCCAGGCAGGTCGCCACGGCCGCGTACTTCAGGTGCAGAGCCTAATGAATGAAGAAAAGAAAATTGCGTAGTTATATCCATACTAGTAATTGAAAATAAAGCCAGGGGTTCGTTCTGCGAAGAACTCACTAGATCAGAAAAGATCCGTAGAATCGGAAACGTCTGAGGAAGTCGTGAACGTTCTAATAAGACCCTCCTATCGAGCTTTCCATTCTCCCGAAGTTCTAACGCTGATGCCACTTTATACTTCGGCAACGCAGAAAGCCAAACGTGCTGCTCAAATAAGTACTCACGCTAGCAGCTTTTCCGCTGCTGTGGAGATCTTTGAAATGCTTACCGCTCATTCACCATGCAACCTGCCTCATCTTCCTAATTTCTTATCTCCCCTTTCACATAAAAAGCAGTGCGTAGGCGAGGTGTTGGGTGGGATATATTTGGAAGTTCATATTAAATCAGAAAACCGAAGAAAACATTTTTCCCAAGGCGAATACGGCCCTCTCCCTCCGCTACCACCATCCGAAGCCCCTCTGTTGGGGATCCCAGCAGTATACCGTGAACTTCCACTTCAGTAAAAATACTGAAAGAGAAAGTACGCGCGACATAAAATCACCTCACGCTCCTCTAAGTGTTTCCACAGCTCATGGCAGTGTGCCTAGGATATCTCCCCCTTGATTTGCACTGTCAAGGGTTAGGGAATTACTCGAAGATTTCCCGTCTGAGCCACATTCTAAATAGAGCACTTATCCAGTTTAATCTCTAAATCTTTCGGGCCCACGAATTCGTCATCGTTTCTAAAGCCCTAAACCTCATATATTTAGCTTCACAGGTGATTATACCTTAGGTGGATTAGATGCGATTACACTGATTGAAATAGATTAGAAGGAAATTGACCTACGACTCAATTTCCTACGTTCCCGATTGCATAGCTGGTCACGTATTTGCTGAATCAGCTATGAAAAACCAACAGCTCAGGAAAACTAGGCAGTAGAAGTGCTATGTATTTATGGTATACGGTATATAGAGGTACAGTAATGATGTCTGCAAGCGATAGGGTTTCTGACGCGGCGGGTGTCGGAGCGCAGACAGGGCGGCTTTGTTCCAACAATGATGCCATTCCAAGCCCCTACATTTGATGTGTTCCCTGGCTGCTCTCCATGCCGTGTCATCCTCCTACGCCATAACAGTTGCCGGGTTCATAACTATACCCCGAGGGCAGGAGTAATAGAAAAACGTTTGCATTGTGAAGGAAGGTGGACTTGATTTAGTGAAGGAAGGAAGGGGAGGACTAGGAGCCAAAAGGTGGCTTATTACCCTATTCTCTGAAGCGCAAGGCGCCCCGTGTACAAAGAGGCTCAAAAAAGACGAATCGAAGGGCGTTGGGTACTTGAAGAAGATGGATTATTCAAGTGCGTCACCTGACTTGAACCCCTCCATTACCTGGATCGGGAGAAGCTCTACAGGGTGGTCCACAGTGGCGGAGGAATCAAAGACCTCGCTGAACGGCAGAATCTCTCGATGGCGTTCGTCCAGAACGCTGTGGCGCAGTTTCGTTATCGTGTACAGTGTGTTGTTGAATTTGATAAAATGTTCAACCAGAATTCAATAAGGTGCAGCTTATTTCGCCGTAAGAGTCGATGAAAAAAGCATCTCCCCCCTCTTGTATAGGGCACATATTAGCTCCGAACGCCGCAAATGTTTCCCTCGTTTTACTTTTGCACATTTTTTTTGCTTGTTCTTATCCATATTAATGACCTGCACTAATAAGAGAAATTCAACCATTCGGACGGTTAAACTATGGAAAAGACAGGGAAGCTGTTGATGTGTCTACCAGCTTTTACGTGGAATCGCGCACGTTGTAGCGCGCGACTTTGC